GAAGTCTTTAAGCTGAAGGTGAGAAATGGTGGACTTTTGGTGAAGAGAAATGGAAAGTGAAGTAGAAATTCTGTCCTCATGGGATAATCTTACAATCTATCTAATTAGAGAGAGGTAAGGAAATAGGTCAGTTTCTTCAAGAAAAGACTATGTTTCTTCAAGAAGGGACTATATCTCACTTTTGTATGCACCATTGAACCTTGTAGAGTTTCTTTGAAGTAATTATTGGTCAAAAATTGTTCTTGTTTGAAAAAGCAAAACAATGTGGTGGAATTTTGGGAGATACAATAATCAGATCAGGAAAGCAGGATATTTTTAGTTTAGAGGAAGAAGTAGGTTCAATTCTAAGTCTAGAATGCAATTTATGAGACTCTAAAACTTCATCATTTTGACAATATAATAAATTATGACCATGTAAAAGGAATGATTTTGATGGCTAATTAAGTAAATGTGGTATTCCATTAGTAAACCAACTGATAACTCCACACTAGAAAGGAATGTATATAATTGAGAAGATGGCATGGTTTATGTGGGATGGGATTACCGTGGTTAAGACTGAGCTGTGAGGGACCAGCAGTTAGCATAATGGCTATGTCGCTGAACTCCCACGTAGTCAACCGCGGTTCGCATCCCAGACCCAGTGGCTTAAAACTCATGCCAGGCTTGTGTGCGTGCGTGCCCAAGATCCGGAGAGGAGAACGGAGGAGAAGGGATTGCGGCGTGACCATCCCCCCTGGGGGGTGATTTCTCGCTTTCTATCTCTCTGTCTCTCTCTGTCTGTCTGGCGAGCACACGCGCCCTCTAGCAAAAACCTCTCCAAAAATAAATAAATAAATAAAAAAGACTGAGCTGTGAAGCTAGACTCCAAGCGTTTCAGTCCTGGCTCCACTACTTACTAGATGTGTCACCCTGTGCAAGTTACACACCTCTGTTTCCTTAATTTGCTTTTCTGTAACGGGGGGGGAGGGGAGGGATAATAGTACTTACTTCACGGGCCAGCACGTGCCGTGAGGGTGGTTAAGGCACTGGATACCCACATAGCTGAAGATGGTTTGAGTCCCGGACCCGGTAGCGTGAAAATCCCAACAGGTGTATGTGTGTGAATGTGTGCCTGAAATCCCAAAAGGAGAAGGGATTGTGGTGTGGCCATCCCTCTGGAGGATAATTTCTCACTTTCCTTTTCTCTGTCTCTCTCTGGCAAGTGCACATGCCCTATGGCAAAAACCTAAAAAAAAAGTACCTACTTCATTGGTTTGTCAGGAGATTAAATGAGCTTATATGCATAAAGTCCTTGAAACAGCCTAGGACACAATAAGCAGCACTACAAGGTGTCTGCTGTTATTTTTATTATATAGTTTAATTACAAAAGAGAGGACTAGGAATTGAGAAAATAGGAGATGGGAGTAAATAGCAAATACATAAATAAATATTTATATTATATAAGCATATTTAAATATATATAAATATAAATAAATATAAATATATTTAGCAGTGTAGACATAGAATAAAGTTATAGCAAAGTCTAATTACAACTAGAAATCTTGGTTCCTGTTATCTTTTAGAAGATAAGAGAGAATTTTATTTTTAATCACTAGAGGGCACTTGCATTTGCGAGAGAGAGAGAGTGAGAGGAAAGAGAGAGAGAAACTTCCAGCTGAGTATGATCACTCTGCAATCCCTTCTTCTCCATTTCTTCATTCTTTTGGGATTTTGGGCATGTATGCACATGCACTCAGCATGTTTTTCAAGTTGCTGGGGACTGGGTTTAACCATGGCTGGCCATGTAAGACCCAGTTTTAGGCCATGGAGTTAGCCCCATAAATACATGAAACAGCCTAGGACACAATAAGCAGCACTACAAGGTGTCTGCTGTTATTTTTATTATATAGTTTAATTACAAAAGAGAGGACTAGGAATTGAGAAAATAGGAGATGGGAGTAAATAGCAAATACATAAATAAATATTTATATTATATAAGCATATTTAAATATATATAAATATAAATAAATATAAATATATTTAGCAGTGTAGACATAGAATGAAGTTATAGAAAAGTCTAATTACAACTAGAAATCTTGTTTCCTGTTATCTTTTAGAAGATAAGAGAGAATTTTATTTTTAATCACTAGAGGGCACTTGCATTTGCGAGAGAGAGAGAGTGAGAGGAAAGAGAGAGAGAAACTTCCAGCTGAGTATGATCACTCTGCAATCCCTTCTTCTCCATTTCTTCATTCTTTTGGGATTTTGGGCATGTATGCACATGCACTCAGCATGTTTTTCAAGTTGCTGGGGACTGGGTTTAACCATGGCTGGCCATGTAAGACCCAGTTTTAGGCCATGGAGTTAGCCCCATAAATACACTTTTAGTTTATTTTATTCATGAGTGAGAGAGACAGAGAGAAAAAGACAAGCACCATCAGAGTCTCATGTCAGAATCCCTCCCCAGTCTTCTCCACCAGTCAGGGTCATGAGCCATGGGTGCCTGGCATGTACAGGTCAACTGACCGAGGAACTGAACTAGTGGTGTTCTCTATGGGTCCAGCTTGGCTTGAGCAGTGCATTACCATTACTCCACCTAGTAAGCTCACTATTTCATATTTTGAAATGTAATTATTATACTTGTTTTGCTTCTTTCATCTTTATGATCTTTTCTTAACTTTTTTCTCCTTTTGAGCAAAAATCATTATGCTATTACTATTTTTTCCATTTGAGATGTGAGCATTTTTCTGAGAATCTTTCTCAAAAAAATAATAAACTATCAAATGTCTTCATAGCCTACCATTTTCTCTAGCTCTGAGACATTTACACTGGGGTTTAACATCTACTATAGCATCGACTTTCTGAGATGAGAAAGCAGCATTGTGGGGGACGGTATTTGTGTATCCTTTTGATAGTATCTTCCATTTATCCAGCAGTATCTACACTATATCATTTAGGAATTCTTCAGTTTCAGACATAGGGATCCAATTCCTTGCTAACTTCCAGTACTGATTTAGGTCTCTTCCATTTCTCCCCCCTTCCATATTTCTTATACTATTTCAGTAGGGACTTAGGAAAGATAGAAGCCTGTGTAGAAGCCTTATCTGGACAGAAATTTGGTATGTCAAATTTTAAGAGATACTGTGATAAACCAGAGAGGCTTGACCTTGATGGGACAGGAAGTGATGTCAAGTGATGTGCAACTTAAAAAATGGAAGAGTTTATCTCTGGAGAACAGACAAACATGATGCAATAGCTACTTTCAGATTCAAGCCTGTGTAGAAGCCTTATCTGGACAGAAATTTGGTATGTCAAATTTTAAGAGATACTGTGATAAACCAGAGAGGCTTGACCTTGATGGGACAGGAAGTGATGTCAAGTGATGTGCAACTTAAAAAATGGAAGAGTTTATCTCTGGAGAACAAACATGATGCAATAGCTACCTTCAGATTCCCAAAGGGATAATGTGTAGCCCAAGAAATAGTCTGACTCTGGGTTGCCTTATCAGCTAGAACTAAGACTAGGACTTAGGTGAGCAAATTGAACCATCCAAGCTGCTGAGAGTATATTTTATTTCTTTTTAATTTTTTCTTTATTTATGATAGAGTTTGCTTGCATATGAAAGAGAAAGAGACAGACAGACAGAAGTGGGGATGGGTGGAGTGGAGCAGTGATTACCTTCCACAGGGTCTGGTTGCACTGTAATCCTCTTCCTACAATCTTCTAGCCAACTGGGTCTTGTACATTACTATTATGCCACAGAGCCAGCCCCTTGAGGACACCTTCTTAAATGAGGTTGAGCAATTTAATTTCTAAGATTCTTTCCAACCCTATGTTCTATTTAATGTAAGTAAGGTTGAAATGTGGGATTATAAAAGAGTTTTCTTCTCCAAATTTAGCATGTATAAAATTGAATGGAACATTTGTTAAAATACATATATCTGAGCTTATAAATTTTGATTCATTTAATTTGGGGTAGGATCTATCAACCATATTTTATAATGTAGGTTGTTTTGAGAATATGAGGTTACTCTTTAGACACAATGAATGAATTAAAATATCATTCTCTGGCATTTTATGGTTTGGACATAAGAGGTATTTCATGCAACACATTCTTTATTGATAGCAACCAATGCTTTAAAATATCATAAATATTAGTGCGACATAATTCATTGGTTTGAATAAAGAGCAAATTAAATTACTGTATAACATTCACTGCTATAATTTAGAGCTTTGTAAAGAAATGGAAAATGATACCTAAGTGGATATGGAAAGAACTGAAATCAACAATTCTACACAAAACTATGTCAATTCGGGTCCTCATGGAAGCACACATCAAAATGGAATTAGCATGAAAGAAAAAGAGAAAGCAGAGAATACAAGGGAAGTGTTTAGATTGAGATAAAGTTTGACACCTGTGGAAGTCAAGCAGGAAGGAAAAAGGATGGGGTATGGAGACTCTCAGTCTGAAATAGTTCAGAGATCATCCAATTGTCTGCTCTGATACAATTGATCACCGAAGAGTCCATTGTTGGACAGACCTGGCAGGCCCTGATTTCCTTACAGTTCTCAGTTGTTGATTGAAAGTTTTGTGGGCAGAGCAAAGTGTCTGCTCCATCTTCCAGATATCCGAAGTGTCGTAGCTGAACTGAACTCGTCATGACAGGTACTCTGAAGAAGGGCATTCTGAACGGTGCACATTCACAGCTGTCACAAAACCCAAGTCTTTAATGGTGGGGAGTGCACGTGCTTACTTGGAAGCGTTATCTGTACCTATTTCCTTTGCTTCTACCTGTTGGACTCTACTTTTATTACTTTAAGTCTCTCTGCTTCCATTTCATCATAATGTTTTTTTTCCTACACACCAGGTGGACAATATGAATGATTCTATTCACGTATAATTTTGTTTAAATTTGTACAAAAAAAAATAAAATATCCCTTGTCAGGATGTGATGGTAAAAGAAATGCTCTGTAAAGATAAGGGATTTTGAAAATTCAAGTTTTTCATGTTCTTTCTCTAGTCTGGCGGCAAGAAGAACTTGCACAGATTAACCAATCTTTCACTGGAGCTGAAAGGAAAGCTCGTTTGTGCGAACTTCTGGAAAAAGAGACCCAGTTAATTGCTTCCATTGGGAGACATAGATACATCGCTCGTATGGAAAGCCAGGATGCAGTGGTACAAGCCTTTTTGGATAAGGTTAGTGAAGTGAATGTTGCTTAAGTATGAAGGTATCCTGACTTTAAAATGTGAAATAATGAACGAAAGAGGAGACTTACATTGTAAGAATTTTGCTAGCATTTTGCTTAGCATTTTGATGACAAATCTCTTTAAATAATATGTATATATGTGTAAAATATATATATGCATATGTATGTGTTTCTTCTGCTGGAACTTTAAATTTTAGATTTTAACTGCAGCGTAGAATAAAGGTTGACAAGCTAGAAGGAAAAAATAAAGACACCTTCCTGATGATTCTGTTTCTTTAGATTTAGTCTTACCACGTAAATTAGATGAGTCGCATAGTCGGATAAAACATAGAATAGTAAAGCCACGGAATATCTGTGTCTGGGGCACCCCAACAGTAAGCAACCTGGGGGAAATATCAATGGAGTGGTGCTCTCTCTACTTTGGCTCACCATGCCGTTAACTGACTGGAAATTTTTGACAAAAAGGATATATAATTATTGGAAATCATGAAAACATACAATTAAGGGAAAAGCTAAATTACACTTTTATGAGGGGTCAAACTACCTGTTCAGTATTGAATAGCCTGTTTCCATAGTAATCGATTTCCTTTTGTAAACCTGATCTTTCCACACAAAAGCCAATTCAGTCACAAAAGGAAAGGGATGCAGGTTACCAAGATATTAGCCTGCAGTGATTCTAATTCTAAGATTCTTATTATGAGATTGTTCTAAATTTCCTTCTCTTATTTTACTCACACAATGATTTGATCTGAGTTTATCCTTGGCTTTAAATACTCCCTATATGCTGGAACTTTGCATGGTTCCAGGCCAGATCTCTCTTAGGAGCTTCTAACACCTTTAGCAGGTTACCTCTTCTTTTTCTTTTTTCTTTTCTTTTTTTTTTTTAATTTGCCAGAGGGTGTAGAGATGCAGAGAGATGCAGAGAGAGGGAGCCCCCAGTGGGAACTGTTTATGCAGTAATCCCTGCTCCTCCATTTCTCCCCCCTGTAGAGACCTTGGACATGCACACACATGCACCTGGCATGTTTTTCAAGCAACTGGGGGTAGAGCTCAGACCACTCAATTGACTGGGTGAGATTTGGTTCCTCCAATTACCAGGCCACAGGGCCAGCCTGCAAGTTTTCTTTATCTCACATCCAGCTTCAGCACTGGGAGTGTTCCTTATATGTCTGATTGTTAACCTCACTTATGAGCTATTTTAAATTTAACCATTACAAATACTTACACAATGTCTATTCTTCTATATGTCTGGCAACCCCCAACTCCAGGCCCCATTTCTAGTGTTTTCTCTAAATGGTTTTCAAAATTATATACAGAGAGTCCTTATGTCTGTCAAAGCCTACCATATAGAGTGATACGAGAGCCAGTAATGGTCATTACCTTTTTTTAGGAAGTATAGCACTCTCAGAAGATCTTTATGTAAATCTCAGAAAAAAAAAGATGGAGAAATTTATTTATAAGAATTTCCCTGAGCAAGGATGGTATTTTGTACTTTGATAAGTTGTAACAGAATCTTAGATCTAAAGGATCCTGAACATAGGAAAATCACTCTGTTCCAGGAAATGGAAGTTTTGAGCACTGTCCTGAAGAGAAATAGAGAAAGAAGAGTGAGGAGACAGTTGGAAGGCAGTGGGGACACAATGTGACATTTTATGACTTCTTTAGTTATGTTACAACATAAGTGAAATATTAGGTGCATGATGATTTTTTTGGAAGGGGAGAGAGAACCAGAGAAATTAGTAAGGCTTCATGTCCAGGCTGCACTGGGCAGCACACAAAGAGGAGAGGCCAGACGTTTGAAGGAAGGGAGAAAAGAGTTGCAGAAACTTGTGGAAATGAAAACAGGCCTTTTGTGGGTCATAGGTATTAGAAGTGGAGTTCTAAGCCCACAGCTACCCCTGTTAATAAATCAGATAATGTCAGTAATCTCCTGGCTAAAATTCAGAGGAATTGGGCAGTTTAGCAGATAGAGGAAGTTCTCCCCTCAGTTTTGACCAAAGTGTTGGACTAGGACAACATAAACATGAAGACACAATGGAACACCAGTGCTCAAAGACATCCCCAGTCCATTTGCACAGCCTAATTAGTTCAGTCTTTAAAAATGTTGACAAACAGTGACTGTGGCACGCTTCTAACTTAGTATAGTAAGTTAAACACTGACTGCTACTCTGATACAAAATCATTTTTAATCACTATTTTTGCATATGATGCTATACTAAACATCATAGACAACAATTAAGGTAAATTCTATTGTCTTTTATTAAAAAAATAATCTCTACAATATCCACTCCTCTTTATGCCTGTCCACTTTCCTCACTCCCATGCCTAGTACTGTCTCTAATCCAGGAGGAGTCAGTGTTAGTTTTATAAAACTAAATCAAAGTAAGTAATTATTCCACAATTTCTCTTTCTTTCTTTCTTTCTTTCTTTCTTTCTTTCTTTCTTTCTTTCTTTCTTTCTTTCTTTCTTTCTTTCTTTCTTCTTTTTTTCCTTAATTGCTGAGGGAGCTAGACAAGATCGGGATTTTTTTCAGGTATCAAAAACTAACAAACAACCAGAACCATAATGCAAAGTTTAAGATCTATTTGTAGCACGTAGGTATATAAAGAGAAGTATTTAATTTTCTATAATTTGGAATTAACTTTTTTTTTTTTTTGGGGGGGATTTTGATTTCAGGCACATGTGCTCGCCAGAAAGACAGAGAGAGATAGAGACAGAAAGCGAGAAATCACCTCCTGGGGGGATGGCCATGCCGCAATCCCTTCTCCTCCATTCTCCTCTAGGGGTCTTGGGCACGCATGCACACATACCCAGCGTGAGTTTAAGCTACCGGGTCTGAGACTCGAACCACGGTTGATTACATTGGACTCCAGTGACATAGCCATTAGGCCAACTGTTGGTCCCTGGAATTAACTTTTGAAAGTAAAATTTCATGTGTTGGTTCTAGTTTAACATCTTTGAGTCTGAATTCCATGTGGTATATTATTTTTTATCTTCTTTGAGTATAGAATTTTTCTGAAGGGTGAATGATATGATTTTAAATTAGTCCAATCAAGGCATTGAACTAATAAGTCATACTAGACTCTATAGTAAGTCCTCATTTTTAATGAAGGCTGATTCTAAAGATTTTTGAAATATTACATAATTTGTAAATTTAACACATTAAACATTGATTTCCACAGATTATCAAATATTAAAAGCTCACAAACTGACAGAGGTGAGGAAATTGAGGTCAAGAATTTTCAATTATCAGCCAGATTCTAATATTCATATGTCTTCAGTGTCCTTAGCCAAACCATTGGAATTTCTCTAAGGGTTTTTTCAGAGAGTTGAAACCATTTATTTCTTTGACTCTCTTTGCTTTGAACACCACTTCTCATGATTACAAGGCTAAAGACTGCAATCCATGTTCGTTGTTTCATTTAAATGCTTTTCTCCTTACTTAGGTATCCAGCAGCTAATGGGCTAGAAAAATATAACTGCCTCTTTCTGAATGTTCATTAAACAGGTCTGGCACTGTGGATGAATAAAACCCCTTTGCTGTGTCAAAGAAAAGTTGATCACTGCCTGATAGCTTTTGGGAAGGATAAGATTATTCCTAATTTGTGCCTTGAGAGACTTGAGAATTTGTTTAGGAGGAAGAAAAGCCCCTTCTCTCACAGTGCAGTTGTTTCTTCTCTTCCGTGGGAACATGCTGCTCTCGTGTTTTTTGTGCTTTTCCCTTCCCTGAAATGCATCGTCCTGTTCTTTTATTTCTCTTTCCAGACCCTGTGCTGTCTCATTTGTCAGCAGCTAAATGGAATTTATTACATGCCTATTTTCTGAAGTAGTTTAAGAATTTGATTGTTGTACAGTCTTTTTTTAAAAAAATTCTTCATTTTATTTATCATCATTATTATTATTTCTTAATTCGATACAGACACTCATCAGAGAGAGACAGAGAGAGAGAAAGTGAGAACACAGGCCACCAGGCCCAGGATTTGAACGGTGGTTGGCCATGTGGGAGTCCAGTGCCCCAACCTCCATGCCACCTGCTGGCCCCGTACAGTCTTATTATAGACAAAGTTCTCAAAAAAAAAAAAAAGCAAACAAGAAAGAGAAATAAGCAAAGTTGACATTTTCCTGCATTAGAGTAAAACCAAAACCACAACCAAACCGAAACTTAAGGCCAGAAATCAAAGCAGTCTAGACTCGAACACCAAGTTATCAGTGTTGGCAGAAATATATCCACGTATCATAACAGCTTTCTGAACAGATTTTGAAAATTATCTCCTCAGTGCCCACTCTAGGAAACTCAAATTTCAAATCTAGGGTTCTCTGATGGTTTACTCAGTTCCCTTTAATCTAGCTAACTCCTGATTATTCTTCAGGTTCCATCTTGAATATTAGTTGTTTTTCACCAGCTAAGTGCTTCCTACCAATGCATAGTTACCTATTTATCTGTAACCAACAAGCATACTCACCTTTTATTTTAATTAGTCATTTTCTTACCTTTGCATTCTGTGAGATTTGAGAGTTCTCGAAATCAAGACTTTTTTTTTTTCACCTACTTGGTGTCTAGTACACTGACTAAAATATAGTAAACACAGCACATATTTACTGAATGAGTGATTGAATTCTCCGGGCCCTGAAAGAGATCCAGAACTACATGAGGAATTTACTTCTTATACTCTTTTGGGAGAAAAATAATAAATAAACATACAGTACTTTTATAGAGCAATTTAGATGAAAATTCTAAATTCTGAGTGACTGAAATAGAGACACTGAATACTAATGTGTGTGTGTGTGTGTGTGTGTATTTGTGTTTTTACAAGCACAGCAGGATTTCGTAAACAAGTGATATCATAGGTTCAAACCATATTGGAAGAATTTTTATGGCAGAGGTAGGGTTTGAGTTCAAAATTGAAAGATGAAAAGCATTTGTATATAGAATATATTTGGAAAAATCCAAGATCTTACCATTTTATACTATATGCATAGGACTCCAACCTTAGAGGGAAGGAAAAGATAAATCAATCATCCACTAGGAAAAAAAATACAAGAAAGTAAAAAGTTATTATGCTTAGATTATTACAGATGAAATAGGTAACCAGACTGCAGAGCAAAAGGTATTGTCTACATTACTGGAAGAAATGAAATCATGTTTAATAGAGCCAGCCTAAGGAAAATTGCATGCAAAGATTAAGACATTAGACTTCAGAATGTTATAAAACTTACCCTAAGATTGCTATTCCTTAAGACTTGATTTGTAAAAGTTTGCTTATTTTTTCCATAGGAGAGAGAGAGAGGAAGAGAGATGCAACACGGTCTCCAGGCCTGACCCACCCACAGCTTCCACCTGTCCAGATCATGTGTATGAGTAGGATGTCTGAGGACACAAACACAAGACATAGTCATGCCATTTCTGCCACATAGAGCATTATGTTACTGCTACACTACCATCTGGCCCATTCCTTAAAATTTTTAAAAAGTGGGACCAGTGAGTGCTATAGTGGTTGGGACACTGGACTCTCACATGGCCGACCATGGTTTGAGTCCCAGACCTGGCAGCTAGAAACTCATGTTAGGCGTGTGTGCATGTATGCCCAAAAATCCTGATAGAAGAATGGAAGAGAAGGGATTGTGGTGTGGCCATCCTCCTGGGTGTTGATTTCTTTCTTTCTGTCTCTCTCTGTCCAGTGAGCACATACACCCTATAGCAAAACTCTCTAAAAAAAGAAAATTAAAAAAAATTGCTTTAAAACAACTATTAAACTTCACTTGCACTCTGAGGTCTACCCAAAACAAATCCATATCCATTTAAAACTTATTTATTTATAAGGAATAATTAAATGATATTTTTAAAATATTTGATCTATTTTCTTTGTATACTCCTTTAATCAATTTTACTTACCTCTATCAATGTGCTAATAATTTAAATGACTGCCAATATGGCATAAATTGAGCTGCAAGGACTTAAAGCAATTGATTAGCTTATGAAAACATCAAACATTTGAAGTTAAAAATTGTGATCAACATAGCCTTACTACTAAAAGACTATAATCAAGGAAAGAAACTACGTAGCTTCATACCCTTAAGTAGAGAAGCAAATAGTAAATTTTCACTGTGAAATTTCTAGGTGAATGCATCTTCTGTAAAAGTCTGAGTAAGAGGGAACAGAAGCGATGGCAAATACAGCGGTTCTATCAATAAAGATTGTCTTGGTGTCCCCAAATCTGTGGGGGGTTCCTTTATACTCCTGTCTCTGGTCTCTGAATTCTTAGCCTGGTTGTCCTCAGATGAGCTTCAAAACAAGTGCACTTGATCTTTGGCCCTCACTTCAGAAGCTGGGCTATATTGGGAAGCACTAAGCCAATGTATGTACACATACCTGGTGGGCCTCCAAACGCAAACTCAGGACTTACCCTTATACACATTCAATATAATTAAAGCAAGCAGATAATTTTTTTATAACATTCTAAATAGCATACTTTTCCCTAATGAGGCTAACGAGTAATACCTACCACACCATTCACCATCCCAGTTAGTACAAATTAGTAGCAAATCCTGGATTGTGTACAAATTCTACAGACTTAACACCTCTCTCATATTTTTTCTAAAATGTTTTACTTCTGCCTGGTTTACAAATTCTTTTATCAATTTTCTTAAGTTGTAGTGATACTTTCAGTCATAAAACCTATAATATTAAGCTAAATTTTATTAGAAGGAACAAAATTATGGGACCAGCAGTTAGCATAATGGCTATGTTTCTGGACTCCCATGTAGTCGACCATGGTTCAAAGTCTTGGATCCAGTGGCTTAAACTCACGCCGGGTGCATGTGTGTGCATGCCCAGGATCCCGAGAGGAGAATGGAGGAGAAGGGATTGCGGCATGGCCACCCCCCCTGGGGGGGGTGATTTCTGGCTTTCTGTCTCTCTCTCTCTTTCTGTCTTTCTGGAGAGTGCATGTAGCAAAAACCTCTCCAAAAAAAGAAAGAAGGAACAAAATTGTTATTTTTTTGCCTTTAATGAGGTAATAAACATAGTTTTTATTTTTAAGTGCTCATCTCCAAAATCCTGGAGAAGGCCTGATGGCAAAATAATTGAAATGGATACACAGTTCACCATTAGAGCCAGAGAGCTGCAAAACATCTATAAATGCATTATGTTGAAAAATATCTCCCAAGATGAGAGGCTGGATGTACTCTTAACACTTAAACACACTGTGAAGGTATGTTTACTGTTTCTTAATTTTGTGGTAGAGTTCACTATTACTAAAAATGTATGATTTGAGTACTAAAACAATCTGTGTTTTACATTAAGTAATTATATAAAGATTATTAATAAATGTTTATCAATATGAACTTGTATTTCAACATTGTTTTGGAACAATTCGGGATAATTTGAGAAGGATGGCTTATGCATTAATGTTTATCCATGTCCTCAAAATATGTATGTACCATGAAATGTAAATATAGCATAATTAATACTCTAAATGTATATGTATTTTATTTTATGTGATAAATGCAAATACATGCAAACATATAGGATGAGATTAATACTTAACTCAGTTTAGCAAAGCAGAAATTATTACCTACATAATTTATCATTTTAAACAGAAAAAATCTATTTTTAACAGCTTTAAGGAGGCACTGAAATATGTATTTAAATTTTTTTCTCATAAATTATTAATTTTTTGTGCTTTTAATTCTGCTTGTAATGAAAAGTTAGTGAATGTCACAGGTCAAGTTTTCCCAATAAGCAGATTCTGAGGTTGGGGTTAGTGTTTAGGAAGTTTGTTTCAGAGTGCTCTCAGGATACCTCCTGGAGTCAGGATTGGGCAGATGGAGAAGTTAAACTACTGTAGAGTCATTGCACACTGACTTCAGCTGATTTCCCAGGGCACTCAAGCTGGGAAGGCCCTCCGGAGATGTCTTGAATTGAAGCAAAAGGACAAGATTTTTATTCTCGCGTAGCCCATTGATTGTGTACGGGGTACCTGGGGGATGACGCGTGACTTTGGATGAGGCATCGCTCTTCATGAGACGGCAATTCTTAGACCTGGAATGATACACCAGAAGGGGGAGTGTGAGTGTGAGTAGGTCTGGTTACAGCACACACTACACACTTCTGCTTGGATCCACTCGCTTCATGTTATAAGTTATCTTCTGAATTTGGATAACTTCCTTCCTTTTTCTTTTTCTTTTTTTTTTCTTTTTGTCCTGGAGAAAATTATAGGAGCAAGCTTAATGAGAAAACTATGGCCCTACTGTCATTTTCCTCGATATTTTATTTTAGATCTTCTTCACCCTTGACTGATCTAGGTGTTCTAACTTTTGAGGTGACTCACATCTTGAGAGGTTTATAACCAATGATTCACTATAAATAAGAACTGAAAAAAAAATCAACCGTATTTAGGTCCATTTAAGTGAGCCTGACAGTTTCACAAGCATAACTCTTAGATATCTCCTGTGGAATCTTCTCCTCTTAACTACAAAGAACTCTCATTTTGTTAAGAAACAGGATCAAGACACATACACTCTTAAGACACGGTCAGCAGTTGAGTAAATAGCTGTTGTTGGAAAACAAGCCTCCATAGGTATCTTGCATTTCAACACTTCTTGACAGTAAATGCACTGACTACCTTTGTTCTGGCCTAACTTTTCAAAAGGGCTTTTGTAGTGACCAGCTCTGAAATATAGAGATAGGTAGTAATGGAAAAGCCATAGGTCCAGAGGAATGACATAAGCATGATGGTTATAAAGGGCAGTAAAAAAATCAGATGGGCAAAAGAGAGTACAGGTAAGGAACATAAAAGAAATCTTATCTCTTACCTGACATAATTAGGACCAGAAGCTAGTTAATTAAAAAAGTCAAATGAAGGACTCGTAAGAGATAAATTATGCATGCCTTAATATGTTTAACCTAAAATATTCATATGCACATTTCTTTAATAATATTTTGATGGAAGATTAAGGTATTTAAGTATGACTCAAATTCTGACTGTCCTCATTTGTGGCTGTCATTTCATAACCTTAAATAAGTTATTTAATATTTCTTAAAGTCAGTTTTATCATTTGTAAAATTAGTTGCTTTGAGAATATATATGTGTCTATGTGTGTGTGTGTGTGTATTCATATATAAGTTTTATGTATATGTAAAAGCTTCACAAATGAGGGGCCCTCAGTATAAAAATGGGTATTATTTTGATGACAGTGAATGACTTTTACAGAACAGTGAATCTTAAATCTCAGTACACATTTAGACCTACTTGGGGGGGCTGGTGGTGGCTTAGTGGTGGTGTGGCTAAACCTACATGGGAGAGGTACTGGGTTTGCATCCTAGGAGCTCCGTAAGCACACCAGGCACACCTACCTGCATGCCCATGACTCAGGCTGACTGAGATGGGATGGATCATGGTGTGTGGCCCCTTTTCAGGGTGCCTATCTCTTTATCTTTCTCTGTCTCAGTCCCTTTCTCTATCATGAAAAAAATAGACTTAAAAAGAATCTGCTGGAAAGCTTGAGAGTGACCATGAATGAATATGAGAATAAATGATATGTAGGTCCCATTCCAGAGCAGTTCAATTAGATCCTCAAGTGTGAGGGTTATGTTAAAACCTTTTTTTAAAAAAAGAATTATTTACTTACTTTCTTACTTATTATTATTACTATTATTTAATTTGCCATTGGATACATACACTCACCCGAGAGAGACAGAGAGAAAGAGAGAGGAAAAGTGAGAAAGCAAGTCACTAGGTCCAGGACTTGAACCGTGGTCGACCATGTGGGAGTCCAGGGCCCCAACCACCACATCACCCGCTTGCCCCATGGTGTTAAATCTTTTAAAATCTCCACTAGGTCCATCTACGACTCCTCCAGGGTGAAGGACCACTGATGCAGATTCTTGTATTAGCATTACCAAGTATGTATTAAAAAGTGGTGGAAGAGCATTATTTTACACTACTGACTTTTCCTTCTGACTCGTTCATTCAAACTGTATGTCTTCCAGTTCTCCCTCTGGCAGTTGAAAAAAATGTACTTCTGTTTTACTACTTACAAATACTTTTATGTTAATTACTTAACTCTTACAGTTTTCTCATTCAACTACACTCACCTCTATTACTTTATTAAAATTTTGTGAACTATAGTAAACATGCAGAAAAATTACATAAGATATATAATTTAGCGTATATCAAACAGGACCCTGCCAACCTTTGCAGTTCCTCCTGTCCCTTCTAATCACAATCCCTTCCTCTCATCTTCTAGAGTTAACCACCATATTAGATTTCATGGTGGTTGTTCCTTGATTTATATTCAGTTTTGCCACCTCTGTATAACTCTCTAAATTGTATGGTTTAATGTTGCTCAGTTTTGAATTTTATGTAATGAAATTACAGTGGATGTGCTATTTTGTATCTTGCTTATTTTGCTCAAAATTAATGTATAAGATTTAGTTGTATTATTGTAAATAAGTATAGTTCATTTATTTACGTATGTTAGATAATATTCTAATGTATGAATAAGCCATATTTATTTATGTAATCAGCTTATTTTGACTATTTGATTAGATTTTGGCTGCTGTGCATAATAGCTTTATGTGCACAGTTCTCTAAAGCACATAAAAGTAGAATTACTGGGTCATAGATTATGCATTTCTTTAACTCTTCTACTAGATAATGCCATTTTCCCCAATTTATACTCTTAACAGCAATGTTTAGTTTTTGGGAATGTAGTTTTCAGTTTGTTTAAGTGGTCATTAAAAAATTATTTAAAATTTTCTACTAAATATTTTTGTGTTTTGTATAGGAACATGAATGTAAGCTGACTCAGGAAATTCTCGAATTGATTGACAGAGAAGTTGACCTTATGATGAGAGGAGTCAAGCCTCATAACCTTGAAGGACTCAGGAAAAGAATTGCAACACTCTTTTTTCATTATATCAAAACACCGCTATTTAATCCTGAGGTTGCAAGATACCTTAAGGTACTCTACTTTTTTTCCATATGAGAGGTCTTCACAAAGTTTGTACAAGATGTGTATCATGAAAAAACTAAGCATGGATTTCAAAGTTTTTTTTAGACCAAAATAAACTCATACTTTCATTCCATTTTTCTATGAACTTGTTGAAGTTCTTTTGTATTCCTTTATCAAAGTCCTAAGATATGATATAGTATATTGAAGAATTTTGAAACTCTGCTTTAACACTTTTCTTAGAATTTGCATGGAAGACCATGTTATTGGTGAAATCTTATTAGAATGATTAATTTTTATGGTAAAAAAGTAAACTTATTTATTTAACTTCTTCTGTGTCTGTTTTTCCAACCTTGAATTATTTCCTAATTCCTGAACCAACTTTCTAACTGGATAGTACATGATGTTGAGTGGACCATGATCTCTCTCACGCCTCTGTACTTTTGCACATACTGTCCCTATTTCATTCAGCCAACTCCTGTTTATTTTGTAAGACTTAACTCTCATGTCATTTCCTTTATGAGGCCTCAGATGGACTTAAAGTCTTCATTTATGAGATTCTACATTGCACCTTGTATTCCTTATAGTACTTAACATAGATAATTAGATCTGAGCAGATTCATATAGCTATCATGAGAGAACTTTAAATGTAACATGTATTACCTTCAGGGATTTTGCTCTTTAAAGACTAGATAACCATTTGGTATGCCGTAAAGATGTAAAGTGATTAAATATAAATTTTAAAGAAAAGAGAAGGGCATTACCAACTCAATATATACCTGCAAAAAGAAAAAATAAACTATTAGAATGATTATCAAAGGTGAACAAAATAATGTAATGTTCTTTATTGACAATGATGGATATATTTATATCCTTGATTCAAATATTGCACATTGTTCGCATGCTTGGAAAACTATGCTATACTCCCACAAATATGTACAAATAATAACATTTCAGATGGCGCAGTGGTTAAAGCATTGGACTCCTACATGGCCAACTGCAATTTGAGTCCTGAATCTGGAGCCTTGAAAC